AGACCTGCATGCTCATAAATTAAACTGCATCGCTCAGCATTATCGTGTGCATTCCAGGATTTTGTCCAAAATGGCCCAAACTACTGCCTATTTCAGCAGAACTCCCTTTGGCCACCACCTGTTAATATATTATAGAGACATTAGGACAGCGATTTGAGTGCACACCAGGCAGGTAGAGCACACACGGCCCTGCACAGAGGTCCCGGAGCAGACGGGAGTGGCCCGGGGGAATGAGCATGGGGAGCCGTCGCTGCCTCCGTTCAGACAAAAGGTGGGGCATAGGTGGACTTTCCCCACCAGAAACAGAAGAGGTGATGTGGCTGCCAGTCCAGTCCAGCTTCTCATAAAGAATCTTGAGGGGCGCCTGGGTGGCTCAGTCGGTGAAGCGTCTGCCTTCTGCTCAAGTCATGATCCCAGGGTCCTGGGATGGAGCCCGGGCTCCCGGCTCAGCAGGGAGTCTGCTTCCCCTCTCCCTCTGCCCTTCCCCCCTGCTCATTTTCTCTCCCTTTCTCAAATAAATAAATAAAATCTTAAAAAAAATCTTGAATGTGAATGACTAGAGTTTAAAAAATCACAAATCAATTGAAAGAAGTGAAATAAAGAGAGCCCTGAATACGGCTGATTTTTGTCGCTTTCTAAGTCAGTGAGGGGAGTTTAAAAATGTACCAAAATGCCCACCACTGACCCAGGTTGCCAAGTGTAAAGGAAATATAGTGATGCTCAGCTGCCCAAAAGAATAGACTAAACGCTAAATTATTTGTAATCAAATAATAAGTGCACATGGCTTTTTAAAAAAGTCAACTAATTCAGAAGTGCTTTTAATAAAAAGTTACAGCTCCACCCCTGCCTCCTTGCATACCTCCCAAAGGTAGCCTCTTTGGTTTTTTAAAATTATTTTGGGGATTACATGCACAACTCTAAATTGTATCCAGGAAAGATGGCCATTGAGTCCCCTTACAAAAGATTGACTTAACTCATTTATACTCTGCACCCTTCCTCCTTCCTCTCATTTTTGATGGTTCTGTTACTTTTTTACTCTTTTGTTGGTTACCTTTTTACTTTTACTTTAAAAAATATGCTTTCAGGGCGCCTGAGTGGCTCAGTCCGTTTAGCATCCCACTCTTGGTTTTGGCTCAGGTCATGGTGTCAGGGTCCTGAGATCCAGCCCAAGTGGACTCCGCACTCAGCAGGGAGTCTGCTTGAGATTCTCTCCCTCCCCCCCTGCCCTTCCCCCTTTTTGCATGTGCGCACGCTCTCTCAAGTAAGTAAAATCTTTGAAAAATATGTATATATATACTTTCTATCTCTTGAGTCACAGATGGTAAATTGCTTACCCAATATCCATTCCTCCCTTCTTTACAAACAAACCCAGTTTTGTTGAGAGCATCAGTGTGCCATCTAAAAAAACTATACTTTTCAGTTTAGGATTTAGTCAGTTTTATCCTTTGGATAGGGGCGGTCATGTCCCTGGGTTCTGGCCAGTAAGATATAAGCAGAAGTTGTTGAGTGGTGCTTTAGAAAAGTTCTTTATGAGGGCACTGACTCAGCAGGTAGGCCTCTTTTGCCCTTCTCTCTTCTTTCTTGGACACAGATATAATGGCTGGAGCTGCAGCAGCCATTAGGTGATCATGAGACAATCTTGAGGGTAGATGGAAGGCATGTTCAAAGAATGACAGAGAAATCTAAAAGGATTCTGGGATGTTGATGACATCAGAGCTACTGTACTATTCCCTGACCTGCCTACCTTCCCAGCTTTTCTAGGAGAGAAGTTTATGCCCTGGCTTGTTTAAAGTCCCCTTATCTGATGCTCAGAACCAAATCTCCGTTTCTTCTTGGTAAAGTAATCAGTGCCTAGACTCTCCGTGTGGTAAGAGGAAAACATTGGTAGCTTCTCCCTCTTCCCCTCTTTCTTTCCCCAGCCACTTCCCGTTGGTAGCTGTATTCTTACACTGCCAAAGGTTCAACATTATCTTGATATTCTGTAGTCACAGTTAAGCTTTCTATGCCTTTTCACTAGATTGACTCTAAAAGTTGAACACCATTAAATAGGATTTAAATCATTATGACCCCATAAATGCTCACTCCAGGGTCAAGTAGCCCTGGACCACTCACAGGGCTCCTAATATGAGGGTCAAATGTATTTTCTCATATTTCATAAAGAGCTTAAAATTACATCACATTTTAATTCACATTATTTTTGGACCATGTTATGTTGCTTTTTGTTTTACATGGATTTTTTTGGTTGAGAGAAATGCTTTCACCATAACCCCATTTGACGCAGCCTTTCTGGCCTCTCCTCTCTTTCTTTTTTCTTAGAGCCCCACACTTTGCTGTCCTGCCCAGTGCTCTCCAGCCTGTACAGCTCTCATCCTAGCTTCACCATCCTCCTAGGTTAGATCCCTGTCTTCTACTTTGTTGGGTTTCCTTCCTTGTTTTGCTGGAACACACCCTCAAAGAAACTACTTAAGAGTACCTGAGAGGTAAACTTTGAGTCTGTTCGTATATAAAAATGTATTTCTTCTATCCCCATACTTAATTATCTGGCCAAATAGAGAATTCCAGGTTCAAAGTCCTCTTTTCTTAGAAGGATTCAGGCATCACTGGTTGTCTGTTGCATCAACTGTTGCAGATGAGGGGTTAGATGCCAGTCATATCTTCAGCTTTTTGTCTATGAACTTTCTTTTGTTTATTCCCTAGAAATCTTTAATGTCTTTTTTTAAAATTCTTAGCATTCTGATATATCAGGTGTAGTCTCAATTCAGTTGATTGTGGTTGCAAGTCACAGGACACCAACTCAAACTAGCTTAATGTCAAAAAGGGGATTTATTGGTTCATACAATTGAAATGCTCTGGGAAGTATAGACTTCAGGAGCAGTTCAGTCAGGGCCCTGGCTCTTTACTCTGTGATTCTTTTGGTTTAGGCAACTGGGTAGGTCTCAAAACAATCCTGAAAGAACAGAAAACAAGAAGTCAAGGCAGATTGATGAACAATGCAGTGCAATCAGAGCCTGGAGAAGGCTTCACAAAGGAGACCTTTTATTTTAAACTTGTAGCTGTGGTAAAGTACGTATAACAAAGAATTTATCATCTTAACAACTTTTAAGTATATAGTTCAGTAATGTTAAGTATATTCACACCGTTGTGCAACCATCTCCAAAACTCTTTCACGGTGGCGAAACTAAAACTATACCCACTACAGAACTCCCCATTCCCTCTTCCCTCCAGCCCCTGGTATCCACCATTATACTGTCTCTATGAATTTGATTACTCTAGATGGTAGTGAAATATATATGGGATCATACAGTAGTTATCTTTTTGTGACTGACTTATTTCATGGAACATAATGTCCTCATGTTGTAACATATATCAGATTTTTTCCTTTTGAAGACTGAATTATATCCCATTGTATGTGTATTATATATATATCAAAAATATATATAATATATATTATATATACCAAAAATAGATAATATATATATTATATATATAAACATTTTGTTCATCTGTGGACACTTGGGTTGCTTACACCTTTTGGCTACTGTGAATAATGCTGCTATGAACATGGATGTACAAGTATCTGTTCATGTGGCTGCTTTCAGTTCTTTTGGGTGTATACTCAGAGGTGGGATTGCTGGATCATAGGGTAGTTCTATTTGTAATCTTTGGAGGAACCTCCATACTGTTATCCACAGTGGCTGTACCAGTTTGCATTCCCACCAGCAGTGCACCCAAGTTCCAGTTTCTCCACATCCTCACCAACACTTCTTTTCTTTTCTTTCTTTTTTTTTTTTTTTTTGATAATAGTCATCATAATGTATCTAAGGTGGTATCTCATGGTAGTTTTGATTCGCATTTCCATAGTGATTAGTGATGTTGCGCGTCTTTTCATGTGTATATTGGTCATTTGTGTATCTTCTTTGGAGAAGTGTCTATTCAAGTCCTTTGCCTGTTTTTTAATTGGGTTGTTTTTTGTCATTATCACGATAAGGAGACCTTCCGTGGTTGGCCTAATGTGTGCTGAGTGCTGGGGAAACAAAGTTTAATAGGTAGAAATGGGTAGAGAGGGCATTCTAGGCAGAGAGACCAGCAGGAACAAAACAGGGATGGCATTGTGGGTGTGTTCAGCAGGCTTCCTCGAGTCACCAGGCAGTGTTGGACCACAGGCAGCGTGGGCGAGCGCCCAGCACTGAAGCTGGAAAGGCACAGCTGTCCCCACCTGTGGAGAGGAGGGAGGAGGCTACACCAAAGGCGGTCCCCCTGAGGTGCCACTGAGGGTATAAAAGTCCCACGAGATACATAGCTACCCTCAGAAAGGTCCCAGAGGCCCAGGTGGCAGCTTCCCCTGAGGTCACAGTGTCAACCAAAAATCATATTTGTTCAAAACAGTCCCTGGAAGATTCCCAGTACAGCTCCACACTGGAGTTCAACATACCATCCCTCTGCAGGTCCCGCAGAGCGGGATGTCTTCCAACACAGATGCAGTCTCGGGTCAACTGCAGCCCAGGTGAGGCAGCTGCCTTGACTTCAGGGGCCACGTGATGTAGAAGTACCTGTCTTTACACACTGGAATCACACAAAAGTGCACACGCTGTGAGGGGAAGGCAAGAACTGAAGCCTCCTGAGATGTATCTGTTTGGATGCGTGAGGACACAAGCAGTTGAATAAATGACCAGCAGTAGCTGAGGCAATAAAGATATTTTAGCAGTTCCCATAATAAAGTCTAGAGAGAGGCAGTCCTAGGTTATTGCAGCGACTTAATGAGACCACGTCTCTGGGTTGCCCTTGACTGCTGCAGTTCTCTAGGCCTTCCCTTCGTGGTCACAGGAGGGCTGTGGCAGCCCCAAGCGTCACACCCCCACACCACAGCGTCCAGGGCAAGAAGGGGCGGCAAAAAGACCTGCTGTCATTGCGCTTCCAAAATCTTTCCCGTGGGCCTCCGGGCACTTCCTCCTGCGTCTCACGGGTCAGGACTGGGTCACGTGCTCGTGCCTGACCAATCACGGGTGAAGGCAGAGGCCTGCCCTGGTGGCTCTGTGTGGATCTGTGCCCGTTGTCCCTGAAGCTGAACAAAATCAGGTTTTGTTTTGTTGTGCTTAAGATTTATTTATTTTAGAAACAGAGTGCGCGTGAGTAGGGGGAATGGCAGAGGGAAAGAGAAAGGGAGAGAAGCAGACTCCCCGCTGAGCGCGGAGCCCCACCCGGGGCTTGATCTCAGCACCCTGAGGGCATGACCTGAGCGGAAATCAAGAGTCCGAGGCTTAGGGGACTGAGCCATGCAGGTGCCCCCCAAATCAGGTTTCTTAGCAAGGAGAAAAGGGAGTTGCGGTGCTGCAGATTCTCTGCCACATCACACTTCCCCTGGAACATCTGCTCATGGAAGACAGTGAGCTTAAATCATTTCATTTTGGCTATATTTTATTTCACACTTAAATTATTATTTTATTGATTTAGTGAGGCCAGCACATGTAAGAGAATTTACATGAGCTAGAGGCCTGTGGGAAGAAGCTTCACCGTTTTAGAGTTGATACCTCCAAATGTCTGCATCTGGCTTCACCCACACCTCTGGGCGTCTAGTGCTCTTTAGTTCTCCTGGCCTGATTGGATTCTAGCTCTGCCCATTTGCCTTGTCCCGTGGGGCCAGGACCCTCCTTGCTTGCACCTCTCTGCTCCAGCCCCATGCTGTGGTGTGCACACTCATGGATCACCTCGTGTCACAGGAGTCTATAAAAAGAAACATCAGCCAAAGTGTGTGCCAGATAAATACATTACTTTTTCAGAAATCATAGAAGCAAATTAACCTCTTTGCTGGTTTTTAAGTTCATATATAGTAAAGTAAATCAACAAGTCCTGACTTTGTGGGAGGGAGCCTGATGCACCACTGGAGTGTTGTGTGTGACCTGGTGGGCTTTTTCAACTGCTCCAACCCAGGCCTGAGTTGGCCAGAAATCCCTGATCCTATACTATGCAGGGGTGGATGTGCTCAGAGAAATAGTGGCTTCATTTATCCCCTTCTTGCGGGAGGAACAGGTAGAGTCTATCATGGACATTGGTGTCTTTACACAGGTTTGGCACATATGAATCCTGTTCCCTAACTCTTTGATGGAAGTTTCCCCCTCCTCTGAATGCAGTGTAGGAGATGTAGTCCTAATGTGTCTCTTTAGTTCATCTTCACAGCCTCCATGGATAAGCTTGGATTATCCTCATTTTATAGAAAACTGAAGGGCTTGTTCAAGGTTACAGAGCTTGTAAATGCCAAGCCTTTTCCATTGCAGAGGTCCCCCCCATTGCAAGCACAGGCAACCTCAGTTCAAGGCCAGAAGAAGTGCCCCATGCCCTTCACGGTCTCAGTGCACATATTCTTGTGCGCAGGGGAAATGCGTGGGCTTTATTGGGGACATAGGCTGGGAATGATCTGCCACTCCTGCTAATGGATTCTGAAGCAGTAACTGAGAGAAGAAACAAAATAAGGTTTGTTTAAGAATCACAGGGACTGCAGGTGTTTCTATGAACTGCCCACTCTTTGGGCCTAATTTCCAGCCAGCACAAAAGCACTTATGCATGACATTAAATATACGTGGGATGAACCTGGTTAAAAATTTTAATTAATCACATCCCCAAACCCAGGTCTGTTCTGATTTCATAGATCACTGCCCAGATTTGCAGTTATCTGTTCATGACTATGGCAGTCTGCTTGTAGCTCAATAAAGAAGGGAAGATGAGCTGCTTGGCTTATGATTTCTGGAGGAAATTCTATTACATGAAACGGGAAAGGATTGCTCTGGACTTGGTTGTGTTGTACCCAGTGAAATTCCCAAGTGAATGCCTATGCTTGAGCAGCAAGGCTCCTGCCTATATGTCCCCTGCTGTGGCTCACTGGGCCTCCACTGGTCTCTTCTGCCTTCATGGAGAGCCTGGCCAGCTTCCCACCTTTCCAGGCATTTTGGTATCTTCCTGTCAGCTCCTGTTGCCATGACAAACTTGATGGCAGTGGCAGCTTATTTTCTTTTTTAGTGAATGAACAAGCAGGCTAAACAAAGTTGCCTTCTTTGTTAGAATTTTTGTATTTGATTTCAGGGCTGGTCCTAAAATTGCATCCAAGGGGACTTAGGATGGAATGGAAAGCAGTTAGATGGAGCCGACCCGGGGAGGGGGTTGGAAGGAAGTGACGAGGCTGATGAAACAGGCCATGGCCAGACTGTAAAGCGCATGGATGCCACACTGAGGAGTTTCATTACCCACAATGCATGTGGGTGACAGGGGAAGCAGGAAACCATATGTGCGTGCTAAAAGATGCCTTGGGTAGCTACCAGAGATGGGCCAAGGAGGTGACACGGGGGACAGGTAAGAGTTCACTCGGGTCCACCTGAGAAATAATGAACCCCAATCCAAGCCAGGGACTCCAGTGTTTGAGAGACGGATGGATAATAAAGATACTGCAAAGGTGGAACTGACAGGCTGTCAAGGAGAGAGAGGGAGAAGAGCCCAGATGGCTGCCAGCTTTGTTCTTTGAGCACTAGAAGGGCCATGGTGCCATCCCCTGCCATCATTATGGACAGCTCTGCGTTTCTCTGCCATACAGGGAATCTCCCAGGTCTGTAGAGGGTGTGGGACTGCTTTTCCCAACAGTCGCCGTGGCTCATTGCCCGCTGCTGGACTGGAGCAGGGCCCCGGACATGTACTCTGGATTCGGCAGGGGCAGAGGCAGGGAATGGACAGAGGAATCAAATGATGCCTCTCAGGTGCAAATCAGGACCCTGGGTGCAGCCCAGCCAAGGCAGCAGACGGAATTGATGAGGTGAGAGCAAAATTCAAGTCCAGAAGAGAGCTGACGCCCCAGATTGGGAGACAGAAATTTGCATCAGGAAAAGCCAGGAAGTGTTGGGCATTGGACACAAGAATAGAGGTACTACGGCCTAGACCATGCCAGGGGGTGACCAGTGCTTTCTGGCTCTCATTTTGATCTACTTTTCACTTTTACCTTGTCCCCCAGCGAGTAAGGTGAATAGTCCTTATTTGCGTTCCACTCTACGTTAGACCCCATGGGATCCCTGCCCTCAGGGATTCATAATCTGTTAGGCAAGCAAAGAGTAGGGACTCAATAGTACCCAGAGTGTCACCTTTAAGAGGTCAGAGGATGGAACAGTGACTTCTCGGTGGGCTACCGGGGGAAGCTATGTGGGACAGCTGACATGAAAGAGACCACCTGGCTCTAGGAAGTGGCATAAACAGAAGCCCAAGAAGCAGGACCACTCAGAAGACCCGTCCAGAACAGCAAGTGGTCTGAGCTTGGGGAGGATACAGAGCATATGTAGGGAATAGAGAAGGGAGGTCGGGAGACAATTAGGAGAGGTAGAGTGGGGCTAAAATCTCCAAAGTTCTAATGCCAGATGAAGGGCATGGCTGAGCAACTAAATGCCAGTGGAGAACAGATTGCTGAAGATTTTATCACTGGCTTGGCATAAAGGCCCAGGTTTTAAACAGTGCTTGGTGCGTGGCAGACACTGAGTAGTTTATCACAGTAGTTTCAGTGACTTAACCCAAACTTTAGGACTGTTCATCTGTTTAGCATATCGAGAAGAGATTGGATTGGGGCCGAAGTGGTGGGAGGGAGAGGGTTCCAGAGTTTCTCTCACCAAGTGTGGAAGCTATCAGTGGGGCTGGGATGGGGTCTGTCCAGCCCACATCAACGGCCCCTCTCTCGGAACAACATTGTGCATTGGTGTGAGCCCCGCTGACCATGTCTGTACCATGGGACTCTGTCCAGGCTGAGACTGGCACTGCCCTGTCCCTTGTCCACCCTGAGACCTCATATTCAGCTCTTCCTTTACTCTATGTGATGGCATAATGGTGGCCTTCCCATGATGCCATGCTCCTGTGCTGCTGTACCTTTAGTGGGGAGGGGAACTAGGATGACCAGAGCTCATTTCTCTTGCCTGCAATTTTTTAAAAATCCTAACTTATACCAGAAGATAATAAAATCCGATAGTAGGATGGGTCTCAGTAGTGATGGAAAGTGAAGACCTCATGTGGGGAATATTGGCCGTGCTTGGAGGTTCATTGTATTGGGAGGACATGATGAGGGATGAAGAGAGGTCATAGCTAACGGGCATGTTTTGATTGAAAGGGACTAGAAAAACAGTGGAATCTTTTTAAGACAAGGGGTTTGGGCAGCCGGAAGAAGATGTGGGAGATTGAGATTTCTGTTTTGAAGGCAAGGAAAAGAGCTGGTATTTCTGGAGAACCTCCTGTGGACCAGGCACCGTTCTAAGTACTCTGCATGGGTCCATTCTGATTGACCTTTATAACAATCTGAGGAGGTGTAGTTACCTCCATTTTCCAGATGGGTCACTGAGGCTCGAGTGGTTGATTGACCATAGTAGACACAAGACTATTGACCAAATATTTCTGTGTCCTGAAGGTGGAGAGCTAGAGTCGGATTGTATTTTCTAACTCGCTGAAGTTGGGTGGGGTTGTTGGAAGTGACACGTGCCCGTGTGAGCCAACCATACAATACAGTTGCTGGTGAGGGACCTTCTAGAGCCCTTTTTTTCCCCTCTGCTACAGACTGACCATATTCCAGGTAGTGACTGCTCCACCGGCTTGAGTCCTCGATTGAGGGAAAAACATGATACAGGACAGAGCCCTAACCAGCATGGGGTGCACATGTAATAGGAACATGAAACAAACCTTTATTGTTTTAAGCTCTTGAGATTTGGGGATTGTAATGTACCTCATCTGGACTCTCCCGACTGATAAAACTCAAGGTCACTCAGTTTGGAAGTCTTGCCAGTCGGCTTTGAATCCATGTTTATGTGGCTTGTTACCGAGCCAATGCCAGGTGGACGTCCCTGGACCTATAGGGGCCCATAAGCAAGGTCAGGGCTCGAGCCGTAGATTTGGTGTCATTGGTACAGTGTGGTAGGGCGGAGAGAGAGAGGCACAGGGATTTGGTCTGCGGGCTTTAGTGTGAGGCTTACTTCCCTTGTGTTCTTTCTCTCCGGAGGGTTTGCGGTCGGCTGCACATGTCCTGCTGCTAAGTAGGACATCTCTCCTGCCTGCCAGGTCTGGTGGTTTGG